CAGTCATCTGTCTTGCCGGTCTGCTGAAACCTTCTCTGCAGTCAGGACTCAGTGGAGCAGCTTACTCCATAGTGTCTGGCAACGTTGGCACATGATATGCCTGCCTGCAGCATGACAATGGCCCTGTCCCTTGCTTCTGGTGACATTCAAGGCATCACGGAATGCACAGAAAACTGTGTGGCCTTTTTCTTGCAGTGACCTTTGAATTAAGCTTTGAATTAAGGCCTTTTTAAAGTGACCTGATCAGGCATTGATCCACCTGAACCTTGTTGGGTAAAAGTGCACTTAACGAGCTTTCGTGTGATTGGCAAGTTGCAATGCCTTACTGCGCAAGCTGTATTGCTGGTCATAGGGTGTAAAACAAAATGACAACTTTTTGTTAAAATATATAAGCTATAACCATAGCATTTTTCATTCCAGAAAATGTTCGGTTTCTTTTTCTCATCAATATATATATATATTCTCCAGAAAATGAACTTCAACAGGTTGAGCCACAGCATCTGGCATGAACAACACAAAATAGAGACCAAATAAATCTCAACCCTGTCAGCTCTTTTACTGTATTGTAAAGAAAATTGAGTGGAAATGCAGGGATAGAGACATGAAGGCCATAACAAAGATATGCATATTCAAATATAATGTGTATATTTTGCAGACCTGAAATGTATCTATACAATTAGATCTATAGTTAGCAGATGTAAAATAAAACAGTTTTTTCTTCATGTGAAAATTATTTAATGTGTCAAAACCTGGAATATCTGTATATACTGTATGTAAACAAGTTGTAGTTGAAGCCAGGTGACAGAAAGTATGATTTAATAGGATCTGTAACATCTGTAGATACCTGACCTGACATGGGTTCATTCCTGAATGGACTTGAGTGCATTTCAAACAGAGACCTGTTGTATGTGACATTTCAGAAACAGCCATTGTACCATGTGTGGAACTATTGTATACTGTGTAATTCTAATGGATATGGTAACTTCTAAGTACACATCATGATAATAAGAGAGGGTGAGCAGAGCTGTAATAGGACTATGTGTTTAGGCATTATTCCTGTAATACTTCACCAGTATAGCTTGTTGCTTCTGAAACCTCAATTGGATCAAAATGATGATTCAATATAATGTTTACCAAACTTTCGTTAATCTTCTCTACTCTCTTTAAACTTGTCTCAACCTTAGCATTTCCCATTAAATCTTATAATTACTACCCCCCACAGGATCGTTATTGTAACCTTAACCAGCCCTTAACAGGGCAAGATTTTTCTTACACTTAACATAAGATCTCATCATGAGACTTTACTGCAGAATCTCGTGGTGGGATTTGCCTTCTCATTGTCCCCTGACACTGAGGTATTATGCACAACCTTAAGACGAACAGAGTCCCACGGTCAGACTCCGTTACTCACTGCCCCACCTGACATGGAGGATCTAGATCCCCTGAGCCAACCAGGAGCATATCTCCCTGAACCCTTATATAGGGAAATTCTGTTCTCAAGACAAAGATTAATAGTAAACTACAGGTATCAGTATTAACACTGTTGATTTAACTAATTCTGAAACACGATCTAGACACTGATATCATTAAGAAATTACTCAAAATTCCAGATAACACAAAATTAGGCAATGTTATTGTTTCAGCTTCTGGATAGACACCTAGCAAATGATCACATCACTATGTGTTGTTTATCTACAAAGAAATTAAGGAAATATTACATCACACAGAAAATGAAAATGAATTATTTCAGCCTGAAATGGAGAAGATTGTTTGGAGACATTAAAGACATGATCCATCTAGTTCAAGTACATTTTCAAGACCAGCAACAGTACAAGGACCTGGGGACCAGTGGAATTTAACATGAAGAACATCCATGATATAAAGCATTATTTATTATTTACACCTTAAGTTTTGGGGGCATGGAACGAATTCCATAGACACTTTAAAGATGACAGTGTGGAATCCTTTAAAAATGATTAGATGGCATTATTGGTTTATTAATCTACTAGCACATAAAAAGGCAACATGGGCCAGATGTCATCTTTCTAGTGACTTATGCAGTTAAAGTTAAAGAACAGTGTAGTCACAGACCATCAATACTCTTAAGCACTGTAATGTACTTTATTTTAACTTCAGTTCTTTAACCTCTCTGCTTGTTTGTGTTTCACTGCATCAATTTTGGTGAATTAAAAGGGCATTGCTGTGTCTGTCCCATTTTATTGCATTTGTATTTTTTTTTACCATAATAAGAAATGAAATATTGTATAACGTTTTTCTGTGTGACACAGTCATGAATTTCTTTGCATCAAGAAGTTCCATGGAAAAGGAGGAAAAGTTGTGCATTCAAAAAAAAATATTTATCAAAGGCAGTGACATTTAATAAAATACTCAGGAACAGAGAGTGCACACAGTACATTAGTCCTTGAAGTACAATACTGGAAGTCAATCTGTAACTGCTGTAATTCACTGGAAATGCTGCTCCTTTTAACTCTATTTGAATGTTTGACATGGGTGTGTAATAACCTACTGTACACACTCAAATAAAACAAATGAGTTTATTTAGCTGTGTCCAATGCTTTGTGTCAGTTTTATGTTTTAAGGCTTTATTATCTGCTTTATTTATGGCTGTTTTTGACCTCCGTTCTGAGTTTATTGCCCCTCTCTGCTAGCTGTCTGTGGGAGCTGTCTTACTTCCGGGGTAATTATTTTGCAATGCAAACCTGAAAGAAGGCCAGAACTCGTGCTTGCCTGCCTCAGTGCATGAATTGTCACTCAGACTCTTAATACAAATTTCAATTCAGTTGCAGAAAGGCAGCCATACCTACTTGTGAATTTAATAATTGGGTATGACTTGACCATTTCCAGTCTGCAGGAATCATCCTGCTACTGGATGCAGGCGCTGCGCATGTCTAAAAAGAAAGAGCACATTCAAGCTATGAAAGGTCTTGTCTTTTATATTATATTTTATATTTCTTGCTTATTATACAGTGGTGTGTACTGTGCAGTGTATAATAACACAAAACGTTTTGCATTTTGTTGCTTTAAACATTGCAGTCATGACACTTTGAAATGGCAATTAATATTTCTAATATACAGCCTGCTCCACACATACGAAGCAAAAAACAAAAAGAAGTAAATAATATGAAAGAAAAATGGAAACTATTATGTAAGTATTCAACCCTTTGCTGTGCCAAACACGAGCAACTTTTTAGGTGCACAGAATGAGCCACATAATTAGTTGAGTTGTCTCTTTCTATGTGCAATAATAAATAGTGTTTCGCATAATCTTAGAATAAATGCTCCTACAGTAACTTTCTAAGGTCTCTCCGTCACGAAGAGAATTTGGAGCAAAGATTTAATCACAAAGACCAAGAAACTTTCAAAACAACTCAAGAGATAATTTTGTACAAAAGCACAGATGACAGGAAGTCTGTCCCTTCCAAAAGAGCAGTTTGGAAAGGTCAACATAATCTTTTTTGACAATTTAATCTATATTCAAGCTTTATTATCCTCTAGGGGAAATGTATTTTAAAGCACAGTCAAATACAACAATGAAAACAAGGAAGATAAACCTTACCATGACAAATCAGTACATCAGTATTTTCATGATATAAAAGAGTTACTTTATATTGTTTGAGAAGGATATTGCAGCAATTATGAAAGATCCCTTGGTATTTCCCAGATAGGAGTAGTGTGAATTTACAATGGAGAGGTTGAGGCACACTCTCCATAATGCTTTTGGCCTTCTTTACAACCATTTGTTTTTAGAGGATATTTAAGTTGTTTTGATTTGTCACAAATATTTTGCTACTGTAGATATTTTCACTACTTTTACCAACGTATTACAATTAACAGTACTGATTTACTAAACCAACAAGTGAGACAGCATATTTTGACACTTTCAATAAGTTACTTATAGAAAAGTCGTTAAATAGTTCTATCTGTCTTGAAATAGCTGTGTTGCCTAAGAAAAAAAGTGCCTCCTTTGGCCTTTTTTATTAATGGTAACACAACATTTGTTCCATCTCAGGTTTTTGGCCTTATGTCCTAAGTAATTGTATTCATTAACAATTTCTACAGTTGACCATTAATTGCAGTAGGTTGGATGGGTGTGGAATTGTTCCTAAAATTAATTAAATGTCCTTTGTTTTAAAGACACTTAACTTTTTAAGAGTTAACCATTTAGTAAAATCATGTACAACGGGCCCATGATATTTTCCTAATAATATGACAACAACTTTCCATAAGAAGACTTAATGCAATGTCTTGTCTGTGTGTTTGCTTACAAGTATAGGTGTACAGTACAAAATGTACAAAAGGAACTAAACACTGCCTTGTAACTCCACAAAGCGTTCTTTTAGGTAACTAAAAATGTTTCAGTTCCCAGAGGTGGTTTGTAACAAAGTATTTAAGTGATACTGTAAACATTTGGCAAAAGATTTTATAGTCAGACAAGACCAATTTGGACCTCTTAGGTGTAAATCCAAAGTGTTACATCTGATACAAATACAACATAGTGCATCACTCAATCAACACCATCCCTACTGTCAATTATATTGGTGGCAACATTGTCATTGTTCTGCTTCTAATCAGCAGGGATTAGGAAGCACGTCAAGACATACAAAAGATGGAGCAAAGTACTGGCAATTCCTAGAAGAAAATATAGACCTACTGTAAAACTAGGACAAACTGAACAGGAGGACTTTCTGCAGGTCAAGAACAAGAAAATTAATGTTCTTGGGTAGTTGACTCAAAGTCAGTGAATTGAATGGGAAGACTTGAGAGAGCTTTAGCAAAAATATCAAGAAGAATGGGCAAAAATTACACCAAACTGGTATGCAAAGTTTATCAAAATCAAACTGAAATATGGTTTAAAATATAGGCCATTTTTGGCTGAGCTATCAGGTAGGGTATAATCAAATAAATATTAAGTACACACTTCATATACGCCAGTATAAATATCCCTCCCACATTATCTCATTCTTACATACAGTATAAGGGATACAGAGCAGTACCAGAACACATCTGCAGGCATGAGACTCTGCGTTCTCTGGCTCACATTCCACCTGGGTGAGCTCCTGATCCTTTGTTTTGAAAAATTGTTTTTATATGACTTTTATACACTATGATAATCTCAAAATTATTGCAATTATAATGCTTATAACCTTATGCCTATACTTTCTGTATTATTTATTGGTTACTCTGAGTACTGATTACCTTGCATCTGTAAAAAGTTGTTTGTGTTTAAAACACTTCTTTTACTAACAAAATGTTATTGTGTTTCTGACATAATACGTAAACTGCAGGTAGTAACAAAATTAAGTTTTTGATAACAGAAAGGTATGAAAGGAAAGTCATCCAGCTGCTGGATTATATACAGTATCTGGCTATAAAAAAGGGGAAACGTGTGGAGAAAGAAAAAAATATGCTACTGTATGGTGCCTTAACTTCAGCTAAAATAAAGGCACAATGATCTCTTCAACTCTAAAACCTAGACTCTTGATTCGTTTCTTAGTCTCCTGAAGGGGGTTACCCTCAATCATCTGCCTTCAGTTTGATCCTGAAATATCTGTAAACACAACAGGGCAGTTCTCTGAAATCCTCAGTTAATAAAGCAGCAAAAGAGTTGTTAATTCTATAAACCATAGTAAAGTCTTCAATATTACTGTGTTCTTCATTAGTTCTAAAATTCTTATTTTTTTATTTATCATAATCAATTTGTGTAGTCACATAAGATGTGGAAATTTTAAATGTTTGCTATTTTGTTTTTGCAGGGTTCATTACTGGAAAATCCCTTGCGACAAAAGGTAAAAGAAAGTTTAATTATTTTGTATGTGTATGTATACAAAGTACGTTTGGGAACATACTTTGTGTAATTGTAAGACATTTAGTGGACTATATGTAACTTCATTTTACAGAAGCTAAATAAAATAATATAGAGAGCAAAGCAATCAGATATTAATGTGAGGAAATACTGTATGATCTCTCAACATTTTTTTCTATTCTGTTTAATTATGTAATTTGTGTTTATCTATCTTAATAATACAAACAGTAACTAATAACAGGAGAGGAAATGTTTTACATAAAGAGTTGTGACATACAGCACAACCCATATGTTGTGTTACAGTACAGCCCACATGTAAGGAAGAATTGTGTGTGCTGACTCCTGCCTTAAGAAAAGAAATCTGGCATTTATTTTGATGAGAGTCAGTGTCAAAGATGGGCCTCAGCCTTCCACGGAGGGTTTCTGATTAGACCCTATGCGGTGCGGTGTAACCTGAGACAAATAGGAGGCGGACATCAGGGAAAACACACAAGGGTTTATTCAAAAAGGTAGTGCTCAGTGACAACAGGTGCTCCAGTGAACAGGGGAAAACATGCATCCAGGTACAAGCTAATCTATGGGGGTAAATCAGGGCACAGTCCAATAATCCTAAATGGGGCGATCCATCCAACCAGACAGACACAGGGAAATCAGGAACAGTCCAAGAACATACGGAGCCAGGTCCTCCAGAACCCCAGGCTCAGGGGGAGTGATGCCTCTGGCAAGGCCTGTGCCCTCAGACGACTCTGCGGTCTGGTTATATTCGGGCCTCTGGACATCCGTATCCTAACGCTGAGCCCTGAGTGTTGAAGCTCTAGGCTTGTATATCAACACTGATTCTTAACACCTGGAAATAATACAGCAATCAAACTAGGACTCGGGAATTTGGAGCACCCCCTAAGGGAAAACATGCTAAACCCTAACAGTCAGCACCTCCAACTCTGAGGTTAAGGTTCTTCTGAATGAGGGAATGGGGAATAATGATGAAGAAGTAGGAGACAGGTTTTTAGACAAAGCTTTAAGTTTTCCTGACAATCTACCTCCCTCACCTACAGTATAGTCATGAGCTTTGGGTAGTGACCAAAACATTGAGATCATGGGACATTTTCGTAATAATAATAATAATAATAATAATAATAATAATAATAATAATAATAATAATAATTGCTTACACTTATATAGCGCTTTTGTAGCGGCAATGCTTGTTAACAGACAGAATTAAGTGTTGCTGTGCTTTCCTAAATGAGGCCCCATCTCTCTATTCATCTCTGTGGTGCAGCCACAGAGAAACTATTCATGCAGGCTGATTTAAAGATGCTTTCTTTTGATAAGGGATAGCTCCCAGATGGGGGTGCACTTAGCTAAGCCTGGCTATCATGATCAATAGTCATCCATTGGCGCCTATCTGTCTAGGGAGTGCCAGATGGACATCTGGACTGCATTCCTAGGTCTCAGGGGTAAGTGACTCATATCTCACCTTGATCAACCAATCAGGGACTGGTAGGGCCTAGTAACCCACGTGGGTCTCTAATGCCCATGAAACTTTTAGCCAATGAACGAGCTGAAGATCCTCCAGGTAAAACAGGCAACACAGAGCTCCAAGATTTCTAGAGCCTATTCTAAAAATAATTCTAAGGAGAATTCCAGGGGTGCGAGACAGTTCCAGGGCAGGACAGCCAAGGAGCAGAAAGGCTCCCAAGGGCAGGACATTCTCGCAGCGCACGTCCTGACCATCTTGAGACTCAGCCCGGACAACCACGGAACGGCCAGTGTGTCCGAGTGCCAGAACTTTCCTCTGTTCTAAGAGTCAAGAGCGGAGGTTGCCAGAGAGTAACCCGAGGATCCACCCGAGGTTAGCATCAGCAGCAAGCCTCGTGAACAGGTCGGAACTGTGGACAGCTGAATCACTATTCAGAACTAGCGCTTCATCAGGAACGAACCGGTCCTCTTCCTGACTTGCTGGCACCCACAGTCATCTTTTCTCCAGACATGAATTTTCATGTGTACAGTAAGCAAGACACTTAAACATGACAGCAGACGGAATATTACTAAGTGATATGTGAAAAGCCTAATTACGTGAGATCAGGATAATGTATGAAATGAGTTGTGTACAGAGCATAATAATAGATTATTTAATTATAGATTACAGCATAGACAGTTAAATATTTAAAGAAATGTTCAATATACAGTAGACATAAAAAGTAGAATTGATTGTGTGTTAATTGTTTAATCAGACTGTGTTTATCTTTTATCATGACAGATATCAAGATCAGATCACATTTTAGGAGTGATTACTGCAGGAATACTGATAATTCTGAAGGGTTCACAAACCATTTCTCACAAATGTACATAAGCTCACATCCATGATCCATGCATCCTCTGGTTTGGGGATGCAACCGAACCTGAGAACAGGAAAGCTTTGACTTGGTGGATTAACCATCTCTCTAACTAGGAGAGAGTAACTGAGAAAGTCCAACAGTCTGTGCACAAAACCTGGAAAGACCTACTGGAACAGTGGCCAGGGAACTTCACACATGACCATGCATCAACTACAGCGGAATAGCAGCTGGTTGAGGTCATGTCTTTTGCAGAAGAAGTCCAGAAAAGTTATAAGCCTGTCACGGATGTCGGAAAGGCAAGCCGTGGAATAGCAGAGGAGCAAAAAAAAGACCCCACGCGTAGCAGCAGAACGGGGGTTAACCCGAGCTCAGCTGGTCAGATCGAAACCTATGCCCTCAGGCCACGGATGTGGGGCAACCAGGTGCTAGGCGGGTCTCAGGATATCCGAACCTCAATGCTGAGCGAGGAAGAAAGAGTGACCTGGAAATATATAGCCCCAGACAGAGACACACTGGAAGGACAAGCAAAACACTGGAAACTAGGGACAGGACAGGGGTGTTACTCCTTGACCCCAACATGTAACCAGGTGGTTTCCCCTGATAGCACTCAGTGAAAATTCCAGGTCTTAGCTTCAGGTTACCACATGATTACACAATGGGACAGCAGAGGACAACAGCTAGGAGGTCAGATGGAGAAGATGACAGCAATAGCTACAGCAATGCATGACATAGCCCTCATCAGGGCTAAATTCAGGGTATCAGGTGATCCCTAGGAGCGGAACAGAATAAAGATAATGGGACCAGTCAAGTTGCTACCCTAAAGTGTGAGATAATCCCTATTTAGGACTTTGGTTATCCCACTAGGGAAGGAGTGCCAGAGGCACTGACTGTTGGAAAGGAGGATGGACCTGGTGAACCAATGCCAACACAAACAACTGTGGGCTTGATGTGTAGCGCCCATGCTCTGAAGCTCCTTTGAGCTCTAGGCTATCTTTATCCTAAAACACCCTAAAGGAATGTGGTTCAGATTGACTCAGTTGAGTCTGCTGGTCTCTTTCTAGGATCAGAGGTACAGGTACTGTCCATCACCCAACAGACAATCAACCAAGGAGGGGACTGCAGGGTGCCTATCAGGACTATACCTAATAGCACCCTAACCAATCAACAACTGTGATGTTGTAACTTAAATGCTAGCAGAATTTTCATTGGATAACTCTCATCTTCTCTATCCAACTGAACTTGCAATTTGACTTTACCAACCCCTTAACTGCAAGCGCTCCATGTCAGGATTAAACCTTTCTTCTAGGGGCCAAAGCAAAAGAGTAAGTCAGTAAAAAGCAGAATTCTGCTCATGATATTCTTTCTGCAACAGAAGACAGCTGGTCTATTTTTGTTGACATCTTAAATATCCAGGTATATTCAGCAAACAGCTATACTGTAGCTGGGATACATCATTACTGCCAACTGTCTCACTTGCAGCCAGATTCAAGCCAACAGCTCTGCAAAGACTGCTTTAAACAGACTCTTTCAGTGACAATAACTTCCCAAAAAAGCTTCCTCCGCAAGGCTAGGCAAAGCTCTCTCTCTTCTCTCTGCCCCATCAGGTTTGAATAATAAAACCTACAAGGTATACCATAACATACTGGACATTACAGTCAATATATTTTGTCTCTGAAGTTATGAACTCTGATCTTTGTAATCCCTGAGTGACGAGTCAAAATATTCTATTGCTTTTGTTATTTTGTTATGCATTTTTGGCATAATATCAATAAATAATATATCTAATTGTTACATAAAATAAAAACCCTTACATTGCTGCAATTCTAACGGTTGTGTGACCAGGCCATGGTATGTGGGGCACAGATACAGAACTCCAGAACAAGCAAGCCTTTTTTATAATGTTTTAACAACAAATATTGCATTGTCTAGGTGTATTTCAGCACATATTAACTTATTAATATCTCATTCAGAGTATTTAGCTCCTGACAACAATTGAATACAGATTGCATCAAAATATAGAATCATAATTGGTCCAGAAATTCTGCATCTAGGTTATGTAGATTTACTAATTATTTGCACTTTAGCAGAATGGATAATTTTTTTTCTGTTTGTACAGGAAATTACTTGCATGCTCTCTAGTAGCTGGAGGGATTTTGAGGGCCCCATGTTAGCACAGAAATCAATGTCTCTGTGACCTCTTAAAATCAGACAGTCAAAAGCACAGTAGGACAATGATGCCATACCTTCACATATGTGGGCACCCAAAGGCCCATTTCTGAAAAGAGATTCAACAGATTTGTGATATAATGTTGAAAATAAAACATTTTAGACATTGTACAGATTAAAGTAAAACACTTTTATCTTACTATTGCAAAATAGCCCAATGTTCAGTGATAACAACCTACTGTAGGTCACTGTACAATGCAAAGGAGGTGGGGTTCTATTATATGGTTGAAGGTACTGAGTATACATTTAGTTGCAACTAAAGTATTTTTGGTGAAACCAAATTAGTGAAAGAGGGTTCCTTTGGTGAGTAATTTGAGTGCCTTGTACAATAAAAGGATGGTTAATTAGTGAGTGCTGGCATAATCTTGTTTTAATGCCTTTCTTGTCCTCTTGCTGAAGCCTGTCTCCAGGGTCTCTTTCTCTTCCCATTTTTGAACATGGTTCTGTGTTGTCAGCCACTAATTCTGTAACTTTTGCATTTAATACTGTTACAAATGAGAGGTTATAAAAATAAAGAATATCAGGAAATGACCAAGTGGATTAATCAATATGTAAAATAAATTACCATGATCCCCAACTTGTAAAGATTTTTGCCAAGAATATATCCAAACTGTCAGAATAGTTAGAGACACATGAATTCTTTGTTCTCTGGCACAGCTCTGGTGAAAAGAGTAATAATTCAGGCACACTGGGGTTAAACAAACATTTATTAAGAATGACAATAAACACAATAAATTACAGACAACATAAACATACAACATAAAGTTACACAATGAACAAACTTTCAAATAAGGCATCCCAGAGGCTAACGGCCTTACCACCCAGATAAACTCCAGCCTGTTACAAAGTATTCAAACCCTTATATAATGCCTACAAAGACCAGAAAGAAGTCATATGCTGCCTTCTAAACTAAATAGAATAAACGTACACTTACATCTCTCTTTGTAAACCCAAATGCTATAAAATAAATGGAAACTTATTTCCCTATTCTAAAAATGCACTCACTAACCAGGAGAGTCCTGTTTTTAACTGAGGGGTTCTTTACACAAGAAATCAGAGATCCCTAAAACTGATTAAATGCAAACTCTTGTAGCAGGGTTCCTGTCCTTACTTTGGCAAATGGACCTGTGCCGATTGCTGACTCTGGTCAATACCTCTTCTTGTAGGTAGAACGTCAGCGATAGGATTTCTTGGGATATTCTCCTTGAAAACCAGTAATTGGAAATTAAACAAATTCCAGGAAATGAAAAACAGATAAAAGTCTTATCTATAGTGCTTGGGCAAGGTACCGCAGTGAACGCTGGGTGACTCTATTAATTGGAGCAGCTGTAGGCAATGAAGTTACTATTACATTCCCATGTGGCTGTCTAAGCACTAAGCACGATTCTTGGGCTGAGGGTGCCCTCCAGTGGATATTTGGGAGTGAAAAACGTTGGCTGTGCTACACTCTCTTTACAAGGTTCAAATACTTACTGTAGCTCCAATCTAGTCTTCTCGGATGATTTGGAACAAGGAACTCTCTCCCTCTTTCTCATTTTTTCCTCTTCCCCTTCGCTTGACTTTATCATCCTTATATGGTGTTTTTTCTGAACTGTTAATTGACCTGTAATCATTTACTTGGAACTTAATGAACTAAGGTAAACCAAGGTAAACATAGCCAGATGTTACCCATCTAGATTCTTAGAGACACTTCTGTAGTCACCTATACAGTAGCTGTAACAATATTTACTGTACTGTATGTAAATATTGTTATTTTTTTCACACTCTGAAAACCAAGTTTTTGGACATGGAAAACAAGGGAAACACAATAACTGCTTCCAGTTCACTTTCAGTTATTTTTCATACAGCTATTATCACAGTGGGTGGCAATGATCCTGGGAAAGAATGTATCTTCCCCTTCAAGTATGAGGATAAGATGTATTTCCAATGCATAATCAAGAACAACAACAACATTCCCTGGTGTGCGACAACCAGTGATTATGCCAAGGACCAAAAGTGGGGAAACTGCGCTATCATTGGTAGGTAATCTGTGGATGCTGAATCAAATCAACTAAACTTAAGTGGGTCATTATGGAGGTTACAAAATTACACCTTGCAATTGTATAATAAGCCAGTTGTTGATGCATTTATTAAGTGTTACAAATAACATAAATTATCTTCTGCAAGTAAGCATATGGTAAGGATCAGGGTGTGGTCCAGACTATGGGCTGAATTACTGTAGTTACTAAAATATTCATCTCGCATGATTAACACTTTATTAATATTTAACTCATTGTTTTTCAACCTATAATTTAGAACTGAATCTTTTACTCACCAATCACAAATTTAAAACTAACTTGCTTAATGTTTTCCAACATGCATAGAAACCCCCCATCAAGTACTAACTCTGGGTCTAAATGAGTTTTTTTCTCGTGTGTTTTCTCTTACCTTTTGTGAAATTTAAGAAGCCTTGCAAAAGTATAATGGGCTCTTATGGAATTTTTGATTAAAACAATGACACACTGGTACATTAAAAGGGCTCATATGAAACATTTTTGTTTTCACCTTGAGCTTCTTGTTTCTTGACCCAGGTTCTCCTACCACTGGTGGAAACAGCAACGGAGCTCCCTGTCAGTTCCCCTTTACCTACCAGAATAAGCAGTACTACTACTGCACTACTTATAATGAAGGATCAAAACTTCCCTGGTGCGCTACAGTCTCTAATTATGATAAAGATCCAAAGTGGGGATACTGCCCTACATCAGGTAAGTTAGTGCTATGTTCTTTATTATCCCAACAAGTCCATTGTGTTTTATTTTCTTTGAAATGTAAATGGTATTACGGTATGGTTAGACATGCTACAGTAGCTCACAGTTCTTGTTTCCTGGTTTATGACTGGATTATTTTTGTCCAGGTGCTCCAGTTTTCTCTTACCTCTCAGAGATGTGCTGGATAAGTTAATTTGTGTGTTTAAATTGTCCCTGACATCCTGTGTGCTGAGTGAGCCCAACCATGTACTACAATCCTCTCCAGAGTGTAGTCCTGCCTTGTGCCCTATTCTTTTGGGATACTGTCTGTGTTGCTGCAACACTAACCAATAATAAGTGGCTCTCTTGTAATGAATGGTTTGTCCTCTGGAGTCACAAGTCATTCTCTCCCTTCATGTCTTTGAGCTTTGCCGCTGCAACTAGTAATCTTTTGAGAATCCTGAAAGTAAATCCATTGTATGTAGACTGCACTGAAAATTAACATTAAAGTTCATATCTAACAAATCATTGCAACCATAAGTATTGTAACAATAGGGCACCAAAAAGACAATCAGGCTTGGGTACATGATGCAAAAATCTCAAGGACTTATAATGTAAGACTTGTAGTGAACATAAGAACCTTAGAGGTTAGAAACAAGAAGTCATTCTGACCATCTGGCCCATTTGGTCATTATTACCTAATTGATCCAAGGATCTCATCCAGCTGTTTCTTGAAAGGGGCCAAAATATCAACTTCAACTATATGGTTGGCTAACTTGTTCCATTTTCACACAATTGTTTGGGTAAAGAAGTACCTCCCAATCTAACTTTTAAGTGCACTTCCATGGCATTTCTACTTGTGTCCTCTGGTTCATGTTTTGCTTTTTATTCTGAAGAAGTCCACTGTGTTTACATTCTCAGGGCCTTAGATGATTTTGAATTTGTGGATCAGACCAACATGTAGTCTTCTCTGTTCAAACTAAACATTTTGTGTTGGGGGGCTGGGGGCTTTTAATTTGGACTGAATCTGGACAAAAAATATGCTTTCAAACACACAATTTTATGGCTTCAGTTTCCAAATAGTTCTCCCACCAACTTGCAATTCACTGTCTCTCTTTTTCATACAGGTATTGTCACAGAGGGTGGCAATGATCCTGGGAAACACTGTGTCTTCCCCTTCTACTATGGCAAGGAGCTATATTTCCAGTGCACAACCAATGACCATGATCACCTCTGGTGTGCAACCACCAGTGATTATGACACAGATGGGAAGTGGGGAAACTGTCCGGAAAGTGGTAAGAGTTCAGTGTATAATCATTAGGCGAAACATCCTGAACATCAAAACAAACAATTCAGTTGTCCCTTAACAAATTGTCCAATATATTATCATGGAAATGACAGTCTGTCATGCTTCTAGCAAGTCTGTCACGCCTGACATCCCTCCCCCAGAGGGCGCTCCACTACTCCCGTTATTGTTCCTGTGATTGTGACTAAGCTTCCCCAGGTGTACCGTTATGTGTCCTGTTATTTAAAGACTAGCTCCTCCAGTCCTCGTGGCTAAACATTAGGGTACCCTACGTCCATCTCCTGAGGGCATAGGCCTCAACCCCGACACCTCCCGTTTCCTGAGCCCTGGGTCTGGACGATCTCGCCCCATCACCCTTGGACCTCCATCTTTTGCCCGTGTTCGTGTTTTACCCCTTCCCAGAGATTTTAACCTTGTCATGCCCCAGGATGGATAACTTGTTGATGGACTCCCGGACTGTGCCCTGACCTGCCTTTGGACCTGTTTGGATTTGGATGCCATTCTCCCCCGTTCACTGTCTCATGGATTATTTTCTGCACTATTAAAGCCCTGTGTGTTCTCCCATAGCACGCCTCCTGTTTTCTCCAGCTCTTACCGCATCGCGTAGGGTCTACTACAAGACCCGACACGGAGTTCTGTCCATGATCGTAACAAAGTCCACTGATATTTTATTAATCATACATTAAAATAATAAATTCATTATGCTGGTCAAGTCTTCTAATCATGACTCATAACCGAACCGAGAGGTGCAGTTGCACTGTTGCCTTAGTAAATGGCCAGTTTAAATATAGAGACAAATTGATTTATTCCATTCTAGCATATTTTGAATAAAACACTATGTATATACAATGAGCAAAGAAATTGTGCGAAGTCTGCTACTGGATTGTCTTTTAAACCATTTACAATTTATAGTTATATAACTTATTTGCAAAGTTTCACAAATTCTTTGGTGATTTTCAATACATGCTTTAAAACTAGTATTTCCTATATCTCACTGTGTTTTAATGAGAGAATAATGTGAAATCTCTTAAAAGTGTCTCCAGTCTCTAAGCTGACACCGGACATGTATTTTCTTTAGCAATCCTTTCATTTTAAAGGCCAGCAATGAAGTTCCAGCACAGTGGTCAATAATCATGGTAGGAAAAGGGTCTTTAATGCAAGTGCATTTTTGAGCTTTTGTGAATCCCAAAAGCAAAATCCATGTTCTAAACTGATCTGAAAAGTCTCGCTGTTCTTTGATCTCACAAATCAATGCACAATGATTGTAAAAATCCATGTGTGAATAAAAAAATGTGTGGGGTCAGAACAATTTGATTTGTACTATGACAACAATCGTTTTTTTTTCTGGTATTCAAACAATTCTATTCCCAATACTTTGTACTTTAGATTTCTTATCTGTAAAGCAGTTTGGTTAGACATGAAGGATAAAAGTAAAATCAAACCTGAAGTGTCATTTGCAGTTCACCGTTCCCCTTTCACATGCAGGTATTGTCACAGTGGGTGGTAATGATCCTGGGAAACACTGTGTCTTCCCTTTCTATTATGAGGACCAGCTGCATTTAAAATGCACAACCAAGAACAATAACCACATTCCCTGGTGTGCAACCACCAGTGATTTTGCTAAGGACAAAAAGTGGGGTAACTGCCCTTTCTCTGGTAAGTTATCTGCTCAGATACTATAATTGCCACATTCTGCCCTTTAGATCCCCCAAAATCTGATGCTTTCAAAACAAAGAGTAGAATTGAAAACTTTTACTCACCTATTGCAAATGTCAAAACTATAACTTGTTGGATGTTTTCTAAGGTGTATGAAACCTGCCATGAAGTACTCGATTTGGGATCTGAAACTGGGTCAACATCCAGGAGTCAGTCTGGCTCTAAATTAGTTTTTTTCTCATGATTTATGTCTTACCTTTTGTGCAAATTCAAAGAAGTTTTACCAAAGAAACAATGGGCTGTTATGGAAGTTTTGTTGAAAACAATAAAGTTCTATATATCTTTGTCATATAGTAGTTCAAAGTGCTAAATTATACAGCTCACATGACACATTTGAGTTTTCATTTTGAGGTACTATCTTCTCAACCTAGGATCTCCTACCACTGGTGGAAACAGCAACGGAGCTCCCTGTCAGTTCCCCTTTATCTACCAGAATAAACAGTACTACTACTGTACTACAGAAAATGAAGGATCAAAACTTCCCTGGTGTGCTACTGTCTCCAATTATGATAAGGACCCAAAGTGGGGATACTGCCCTACATCAGGTAGGTTACTGCAGTGTTCATTAGTGCACAGACCTAAATGGATGGATGGCATTTATACTATAGAAGGACATAAAAGTGCTTTATACAAGTGCAGGGTGGCACAATAGAATGAGTCTTAGCACTGTTAGCATACAGCCATACACCTCCAGGGTCCCTGAGAAATCATTGACACATACAACCCCTCCAAAATCCTTACAGTACCAATGTGCCATCTCTATTTTTTGAGTTTCTTCTGTCTCAATCTCAGGAAGACTGAACAGACTCCTCCCATCTTCAGGTCTTCCTGGGCCTCTTTTCATAACTCACATAATACACAACTAGTGGTCCATAACCCCTCACACAATATAGCACCAGGCACTGCGATATTCAGACCAGCTTACTCTTTATAAATCATTGTCCTTCTTCACTAACTTTTCCAGCTGATCTTGCTTGGATACTTCTCTATATTCACTTGTTAACCAGAACACTCTGACACAGCAGCAGTTGGGTTATTCTCTGAGATGGCCAATAGATAGGCATAGGGACACTGTGCTGTGAGGCGAAGATACATTGCTATCTTGCCAAGTGATGGCCTGTTCTCAAGAGGATCTTACACTTCTGATCAGCCCTGGCAAACTAAGCCAGCCCTGTTCCTTCATTGCACAGCACGTCTTTCCAGAACCTGGGATTCCCCGCAGTACAGCCTAGGCTACATCTTCTTCAAGCTGCCAAATAGCACACTAAGTCTTACAAGTCTGTAAGCCCAGCCAATTCATTACTGGCAAGACCTTTCCTGAGGATATCTCACTCTCTTTCCTTCCAGGCAGGAGTCTAGATACAGTTTGAAACCTCTTTTCAATAAATAAACAATACAACATGTCAACAAGAACATAAAATAAATTGAAAACAATAATTTTGCCACTTTTTGTAGTCATAAAGCACATTAAGCATAGGCAAAGACAATATTGTCATACGTTTACATGCATACAAGACTCTACATTTTGACAAATCAAATATGAAAAGACAAGTTCCATGTTAAAAAGTAGGAAAAAAAACAGAATATTTCTGCTGTTGAGCCTTCTTCTTCTTTCGTATGGTATTATTTTGTTTTTCAGCACAGAATTAAACTTCACTTGTTCCTTTGCAGCCAAGGCCTGCTGATGTAGCTCCATACTCAAACATGTTGACCAATCTCTATATCAGAATAAGAAAAGGTTAAAAACTTGATTAGCAAAATTAGCTTTATTACCCTCCATGAGAGAGTGAATTCTTCATGCAGAATCTGTCCAACTGTAACTATTCCTTTTCCTCATGTAGAATCTCACATCTCACAAGACTCTTTCAGACCACATTTTGCAGCTTTTTACAATTAACGGGAGGCCATCTTGGGTCAAGGATATAGGATATACCCTATACCAATAGGGATGGATTTTGAGTCACCTCTCAAAACACCAAAGCACTGAAGTCAGTTCTAGATCTGAGTGAGAGGAGTCTATATGTTCTCCAAGTGTCTGCATGCTTTCCTCCAGATTGTCTGGTTTCCTCCCACCTTCCAAACAGATGTTGGCTACATTAACTGCTGTCTGTATATTGTCATAAAAACAATAAGCATCAAACAGCCAAGTGGTAGAGTAGTTAGCATTGCTGCTTCAAGTCTTCTGTTTTGTGGGTTTAAGCCCAGCCTGGGATGCCTTCTGCATATCATTTTTATGATTGTCTGTTCCCCAGATTAATATCCTCCCATCTTTCAAAGACTGCTTTAATTTATATTAACTGGTGTCTGCATTGTATCTGCATGCTTGTGTGCTACACAAGTCCTGCAAAGGATTTGGATCCCATCCCGTCCTTTTCTTCTAGGATACAGCTTGGGTTGCCAGTAATAAGTGGCTCTCCAGTGGCTCTCTTGCAGTTGCAGTTGCTTGCTTGCAGTTCACTGTCCCTCTCTCTCAAACAGGTATTGTCACAGAGGGTGGCAATGATCCTGGGAAACAATGTGTCTTCCCCTTCTACTATGGCAAGGAGCTATATTTCCAGTGTACAACCAAGGACCATAATAATCTTTGGTGTGCAACTACCAGTGATTTTAACACAGACCGGAAGTGGGGGAACTGCCCTGACAGTGGTAAGCAGCCAGTGTATAATCAGCAGAAATTGATAACAGAAACAGATTCTATTAAAATAACTCAATCCACTTAATGATGTAACCAGTAAATACATTATCAGTTTTTATTTAAACCATACTCTACACCAAAAACAGTCAAACTAAATATTTATTAATGTTACTGCATTGAGATGAAGATCTACTGTAAGTAGCGTGGTTGGTGAGGAGAGGTCTGTTTAAGATTGTCTTTGATTCTTCTCCCTTTCACATACATTGAAACATAATAGATAAGACTTTAAGTAACACAAAAACCCTTACATTATCAGATTTATTTTGAATATTCCCATTGTTTGAGAAAAACAGCTTCTGAAGATCAGGCTCAATCTAAGGAAAGGCCACTACCCTTCAGTTGCACTAAACATGATAGTTAACCAAGATGATTAGTGGAGGTGTGGTGGACCATTGATACTGAAAATGTTTTTAAAATGAAGGTGTACATCATTGCAGCATATTTGAATACACTTCTGGACATAAACAGAGCAAATAAATTATCTTAGACAAATGTCTAGCTATTCTCCCTGCAGTGATGTGAGGGTTTTACTGCAATCACTGGAAAAAGTAGAAATTGGACCAGTAAATAGAGAGTACTTGATGACTTTTAGGAACCAATCTAACATAATAATTTACAGTCTCACATATGGATTCTAAATATATAATATACTGTACAATTTATTGATATACGGTAAACAAAACATGCATACTGTAACACAATAAATGGAATAGAATACAGTACATATTGTGAAACAATGTGCTGTGAACACAGAATGCTGATCGTTCACTTCAAAGATCACAGTGTAGCAGTGTAGCTCGTTGGTTCTATCGGTTTCATGTAATCTCATATAATTAAATCACATTCATTCTCAGATACAAGGTATTATGCATTTACTACCATGAACTGTCAATAATAATAATAATTAATAATTGCTTACATATAAATATAGCACTTTTCTGGACACTCCACTCAAAGCGCTTTACAGGGTAATAGGGACTCCCCTCCACCACCACCCTATTTACGCCCTATTTACAGTATAGTGTCCCCGTCGCTATACTGGGGCATTAGGACCCACATGGACCGCAGGGTGAGCACCCCCTGCTGGCACCACTAACACCTCTTCCAGCAGCAACCTTAGTTTCTCCCAGGAGGTCTCCTATCCAGGTACTGACCAGGCTCACACCTGCTTAGCTTAAGTGGGTTACCAGTTGTGAGTTGCAGGGTGATATGGCTGCTCGGCAGAAGTGTTGGGAATGAAGTGTTATTTACAATACACTGTCTCTTTCTTATACAGGTATTGTCACAGTGGGTGGCAATGATCCTGGGAAACACTGCGTTTTCCCTTTCTACTATGAGGACCAGTTGTATTTCCAATGCACAACCAAAAATAATAAGAACATTCCCTGGTGTGCAACCACCGGTGATTTTGACAAAGACCAAAAATGGGGAAACTGCCCTGTCTCTGGTAAGGGTTGGCTCACAACCAGCAAAAGCTAAATAACTTCATTTAGGCTCAAGTGGTCCAGTGACTGGGCCAACTCTAGGTCTGGACTAATTCAAAATATTGACTCGCTCACCAATCACAAATTCTGAAACTAAACCCTGACCTTTTTGAGTGAGTTGGTCTCATAATGAACATTATCACTAAATCTCGTCTTTAGTTTCTTTACCTCTAAAGGAGATGCACAGAAAGAATTGAAAGCTTATGAAATAAGTCATTCATTCCTGCATAGAGTATGCTGTCTTTAAACACAGAAAGTGCTTAATTGAAGTTTGGTGTTCATGTTATGAAAAGTAATAATCTGTGCATTCTCATTTTGATTTAAAAAAGATTTTGATTGTATTTTGTCAAATTGATCAAAAAGCTAATCTAACACTAAATGTCTAATTCTAGAATTTTAAATACAGAGTAAATTCCCAGATCAGAGGTTACAGATAATGCAACCCAATATTTTTAACCACATTTTTACACACAAGTGTAATTGCAGTTTGTCAGAATAAACTAACTACATATTTTTGTTATATCGGGCTCAGTCCTCTGTGTTAATACAACTATAATAAAAGTCTTATATAAAATGTTGTACATAATGGATTCTAAAAGGACATTAATTGTCATGACTATTGTTGTTCTTTTTTTCTTTGCAGGTAGTGAAGAAGATGCACCCTGCAAAGCATAATGATTAGTGCATCAGCTTGTCCCAGATTTAGAGGACATCTTGAATGCTAAAAAAAACGTTCTACATATGAAATCACTGAATCATAAAATCATATCTGGAAGTGATTTTTTCCTATTTCTTGTTCTTTACCATTTTCACATGTATCTTTAAAAACTTTTAAAAATTGGAGTTAAATAAAACAAGCTACTTCATTGAAGTTCAGATGTTCTTCTGTTGAGATTCCCTACAACCTGACATGAGGATAGCCTCACTAATAGGAACCAGATCACAACATCAAATGAATTAAGAGTGTGTCTTAGAGTCAGCCTTCTGCACTTAAGGACAGTTCTTGAACAAAGTGCTATGTACATTTTTAGAACTGGAAATAAAAGACCATGCATAAATTGAGGGAAAGCATGACAGACAAGTAATTTCAAAGATGTTAGAAAGAACAGAAGTATTGTAAAGTTCCAGTTATTTTGCATTATAGTAGAATGTGATTTCCAGCACAAATTTAAATAAATTAATTGATTACAGCAGCATTAACTGCTGTGTCATTCCTCCAATAAACACTCTTCACATGAAATTCTTTGGTTTGCAATGGTTCTAGTGGGCACAGAGCTACTGAGTGAGAACCCCTTGCATTTAGACTAGGTGTCTCCAGTCCAGGGGTCTGTTTTTACTCAGTTAACCAGGTATCTTTTGTAAACATATTGTTAAAAGTCAGGATTTTCAGTTTCATGAAGCAGGATTTAATTCTATCCAGTTAAGTAACTACAGCAACATATCCACTATTTTTAACCAGCTCAGGGACAGGTTAAATTAATCTGAACCTGAAGTTAATCTGACTTTGAAGTTAAGAGCTAACAGACCAATCAGCCACTGCAAAAAATGTCTCCTTTCTTCAGGGATCCAGTTGACATTATAGTTATGACGTGTTCATAACCTCACTACTATCCGTCCATTTTCCAATAGTTTCATCCAAGTTAGTGTCTCAGGGGAGCCAGAGTCAAGCAATGAGCACAAGCTCACTCAGTCTGCACACAGACACAGACATGCATACACTCACACCAGGACCAGTTTTCCCAGAAGCCAGTTAAACTACAAGTATGTCTTTGGACTGTGGGAGGAAACTGGAGCCTCTGGAGAAAACCCACAGAACACGGGGAGAACATACAAGCTCCACACTGATAGCTCCCAGGTAACTAAATCACAGAGCTCCAGTGTTGAGGCAGCAATCTTGTGCAGCCCCACAAGATAGTCCAGTAGGAGTTAATGTTAAGATGACAGGTCATTCTGTTTTTGTGATGAGACAGTTACAGGAGAAGACACTAGAGAAAGGGAAAAAGCTGTATGTGGCCTTTCTGGACTTGGAGAAGGCATATGACCGTGTGCCCAGAGAGGTGGTGTATTGGTGCTTGAGGAAGAAAGGAGTAACAGAAAGCATGGTGAAGTTAATTCAAGCAACCTATAGAGATGCAACTACGAAGATGATAACACAACAGGGAGA